CAGAGAGGACAGATGCCAGCGCAGAGGCTGGGAAATGGACACAGGGAACAAGACTGCTTCCAGCTACAGGAAGCGTGCTAAGCCCCCACCATGTTAAACATAAGACTTCCAGAAATGATTGAAACAAAATGCCCATGCTTTCTCCCCACCAAACAAACAATAGTCTCCTTTGTGAAAGCCCGTGGCTACCAACAGTCAGGGGAGATATAAAGACACAGTTTAGAAAGAGCGGGCATGTTTCCCCCGTTCTTTTTTGAGGCTGCAGACAACTCTCTCCTTCAGTTTGGACAGACTGGGACATAAATGTGGGGCGCACTACAGTGTGGCCCACTTAGGTGCCCCCTGCTTAGAAAAAAATGCTTTTGTTTTCCTGTTGTTACAGGCCTCAAACAACTCAAGGAACAAGGCTGCAACAGTAGCGGAGCACCAGCAGGGGGTCAACGCCATGGTAGAGAGGCACGCTAACACAGCAGACATGTTACACACATTCATTGAGATTGTAAACACAGGGCTGAGGAACCAGTTTTTTCCCCCCCTTGTTGTGACCTAAAAATCTGTTGTATTCCATTAATGGTTCAGTGAGCGTCTTCTAAAGCAACACAGCATATCTACCACAATCTCTCACACCATCTGAACGCTGATATTTCAGACTTATTATCATTCCTTCAGCTCCGTTTTAATCAGCCCCAGGGTTTCCCCGAGCAGATCACTTTACACAAGTTTTCTGTCATCCTTAAAAGATCACTCTGCTCCTCTGACACACATGTGGTAACCTGCGTAAAGAGGACACTGCACCAACTGCAAGCACAGGATGAGCCAATTCTATATTTACCCGAGAACTGCTGTATCTCTGCTGTCCCCAGATGCAGTAATTCATTAGTTATTTCATAAATGTCTTGTTAACTCTTATTGGTCTGAATGCTGCTAAACTGAACATCATAAACTGTAATAAATGGAGGTCCCGAGGCTATATTTTTTCTCTTCAACAGAAGCACTGGATCAGCTCTGGAATTACTTGAGAGAGAAAAAAATCATATGCCTCATAACACATGACTGTAGTATTTAACTCCACCGAGGAACATGCAGATGATAACACAACGAGCCCTTTATCCTACTTGAATTGTGTGTTAAATATTAATCATCAATAATGCAACATATTCTTATTCTACGTAACATCAACTGGTGTTATAATGCTGCCCACGCCCCGATTAAGACCATAACAAGACACCATGGGAGAGTAGAAATCGCACCTGCTAGATCAGTGATTTCCGCCGGAATGCACTTATTCAAACATGAATGTGCGCACACACACACACACACACACACACACGCATACTTTTGAACAGCTGGTGCTGGGCTGGCTGGCTACATACAGCCAGGGGACAGATAGCTGGCTGAGAGAGGGAATGGGAACACGTTGCTCAATCAATGAGCCATCAATCACACACTTACACACACACACACGCACAAACACAAATGCATACACACAGCAAGAAGGAGCAAAGACATGAAACAGGAGACCATATCCTTTAACTACCACTCAAAAGAAAGCCATCAAAGCGCTGGCTCCAGGCCTTTTTCCATGGCCAAATTTCCAGTCACTGCTTTGTCTTGTGGTGGTTTCATTAGAGCTACTACTAGACTCCTCTGTGAGTGTGTGTGTGTGTGTGTGTGTGTTTGTGTGTGTTGCACCACAGCAGTTATCTGCTATCTAACTAGCTCACTGCTGCGGGGTTTCTTTTCTGCACTCTGCTGAGCTCCCAGACAGCAAGAGGTTGCGAAAAGGCTGGCAAGGAGGCGGCAGCAATCATATAGTAAGTAGCACCTTTCTGTTGTTTGTTTGGTTTCTGTAAGGAAAAAAGGCGAGTGAGGAAGTAAACAAAGCACGTCAGAGAAGGGACTCAGCAAGTGATTACTGTTATTTATAGCTATTCTTTTCCTGCTTTAGCAACACCTGTACAAGTGGTACGTGATAACTTATACCACTCAAAGGGGAAAAAAAGAATACATGTTACAAATTGCAGTTAGTTACTCTGAATAGTTGGATTATTTTAGTCGAAACATTGATTTTTATTTGAAAATGAACAACCTAAACACACCAACACACACACATTCTCGTTTTGATATCTTAGTGAGGACATCTAATTGACATAATGCTTTCCCTAGCCGCTTACCCTAACCCTAACCCTCAGGCTAACCTAATTGCAACCCTGACACTAAAACCAAGCTTTGAGTCTCAAAAATGCCTTCAAACTCGTGAGGACAGGCACTTTTGTCCTCACAAGTGACTGTTGATCCTGACAAGTATAGTCATTTTTGATTTTTGGTCCCCACACAGATGTCTAAACAGGTACACACACACGCCTATAATTTTACCAACAGGAATAATAATAAAGTTTTCAATGATAAATGCGGATATCCATCCCTGTTCTTAAATCAATACTAACATCAATTCCTGAACACCCATGAAATCAGGTGGGCCTGTGTCCATTAATTGTTAATTGTTTATGTAAATGTACACAGCGGGAATACATCCACAAAAAAAAAAAGTAATGCGCATGTAAATCAGAGTCTTGAAACGATTTTAATAACAGTCCAAACATGACTCATTTGGGATAATTCCAAAACATTAGTTCTTATGTTTGAAAAGCTGGAACGGGTAATCGTTAGCGGTGTTATGTTATCGGTGACTCAAATGGTTAACGGATTATCTCAGTTAAAGAGAAGCAGGAAAAGGCGAGCGGCATCGCCATCAGCAGCAGGATCAGCAGCGTTAATGTACACAGGGAGGAGTAAACAACACCAGAGGACGTCCTCGTGTCCCTGAGCAGCAGTGACAGCATGTCCTCCTGTCTGCACTGTCATTCTGTGTCAGCTCTCATTACCTACAGCACTGCACGAGCAGCATTGAGTGACTGACTGGCTAATGGCACCTGCTACCTACTGCTTTATGGATGACAGCAGGGGGCTGGGAATCGCCATGACAACACAGAGATTGCACTATGCTTGACCTCGATCACGTGGAACAATCTGTTCGTTTAAACATTATTACTCATTTATGCAACACAAGAAACCGATTTCAGTTGATTTCTTATGTGTTAAATATCTATAATTTACACAGAAGACACAGCAACCACTCAACTGCTGCCTACAGCGGGCTAAGTTAGGCCCAGTTCACACAGTGGCGGTTCGGTTTTGCCTTGCCATCTAAACCTAAGTTGTGTTTATTCGCCTGCAGCCATATTTCTGTGACAGCAGATATAGGGGAATCACAAACGAGAGAATAAGCTCCGTCACTTGAAACAAGACTCCCCTTGGATCGTCATTTTTCCTCTAATGGATAACAGAACAATAGATGCCTCTAACTCACCACTAAAGGATCACTGTGCCGTCATTGTACAAAGGGTACAAGGGTCAATTTCCTCAGCAAAGAAGAAGAGAAGATGCACTCTCTGTGATCCCCAAACTCTGCTTTGTTTTCTTGGGTAACTTTTTTTTTTTGAAGATTTTAAAGACTTTCTGCAAATGATATCTTGAAAACAATAAAATTAATTAACTAAAGAAAAGAGATTTACTAAAAAATGATTCAGTATGCTTGTATACCGTCTCTTCCACCTGTCTAAAACTATTTCAGCTGGAAAAAGGAAAAAAAAAGGTGCTTATATCTACTGGAAGATTTCAATTAAATAACAATGCAAATAGTAAAGTTGTGTGGTGAGCCCCTGGGAATCCACTTAAAAAAGAAAACCCAACAAGAAAAAAAAACACTGGGGTAGTTTCCCTGTGAGACAACGGGAGAGCACAGAAATGATGTTTACATGCTTCCACAGCACATGGTTAAACAAGTGCAAAATCAAGATGTCTCTCCTAACTGTAACTGGCGAAGTTTACAAAATGTTGAGGTGTGCCTGTTACTCCTCGATCTGATAACTGATCTGCAGTGGCTGCTAAGCGAGCAGCTTCAGACGGAAGCACAACCCAAATTGGGCCTTTGTTCCAGACTGCACAGTGTCTCGGCAGAGGCATGAACAAAACACAACACAGACGCACACGAAGCCTGAACAGTCGCTAACGCGCACACACACAAACACACATAACTAACTCTACCACAAGCGCCTCTGAGCCGCGTCTCACCCACCCACACACATATACTAAACACAACCTAACCCGCCTCCCCTCTCACTCTCTCTTGCTCCTTTTATTCCTCTCGGTCTCCCGCTCCCTCCCCCCGAACCCTCATTCATAAAATGGCTGCTTCACAACTCCAATTCCTGGCATGGAATTCATGGATAAGGGGTCAGGAGCAGCAACAGGCCAGGGTGGACTTGTTAGTTCTATTTTTCCCCTCCCATCTTTTTCTCCCCCTCCTTTTTCGGATAAAAAAAAACAACCTACACCAATGCGATTTGTCCGCCTAATTCTCCTCCACACATATGCCAGCCTTCCTCATCTCTACCCCAATCCTCCCCTTTCCTCTTACCCACTCCCCTCCAAAACAAACCTGATACCCTTGTAGCCTAGGAGGGAAACTAAAGCTATGCATCTGGCAGAGGAAGGCAGGCACGAAGCGGAGAAGGGGCAGGAGCAAGTGCTGGTGGCTTCTCCTAAGAGGCCAGCAAGAGGGGAACGGGGACAATCTCAGGTTCCATCCCTGGAACACAACCTCCATGTTTTTGCAGTTTTACCACATCACACGGACGCACATGCAAACTCCCAGGGCAGGGGTTAAAAACAACAGGACATTGATTGCTATAGCATTTGCTCCGAAAACACCAATCTATGTTAAAGGAGCAACAAAATGGGGCAGCTTGAATGGCCGAGAAACTCATCCCAACCTGCCAACACACACCTGTGTTGGTATGAGACAAAAGTGTGTGTGTCAAGGTAAATTTGGGCCTATTGCATCAGTTTTCCTCACGACACCACTCTGCGATATCTGCTTCTGAAATCACACAAATTAAAACTCACTCAATAACAGCACACGAACCCTGAGGCGCATGTCAGGTTACACCGTAGGTAACAGCATAAAGTTTCAGAGGGTGTTGCGGTTACAACGTAGCTACGGCGTAGATTTCCCGCTGGAGCATTAAACCCCAATAACAATCCCTCTCCTCCTCCCACCTTCTCCCCTGTGCTGCCCCTGGAGCCCCCAGCAGAAGACGGTACGAGCAAGGAAGGGTCGAGGCCACGAGATGAACGGTCCCACCTCTTGCTGGAATGAGCCTTAATTTGATAGGGGTTGGGCTGAGCCAGGACCGTGGTAAGACATGCACATGTGCCACACAGAAAGAAGCATGTGTTAAGTCACTGGAATGTACACACATATCGGAGACACAATGAGGAGGGTCATTCTTAGGATGCAATTTGAAAAAAAAAAACAAAAAACAAAGAATCAGCCATATGCTTAAGTCGTTGCTGCACATCTGCCGTTTCTGCATCTCACATCAAAATGAGGACACCGGACGTAAATGCATAGACCTGCTGCAAAATGACACTGTGCCGTGATTACATAATCTTTGCACTAGTAATGTAGCTGTTACTGTGCCCTGTATCTCATAAAAGCAGCAAATTTAGTTGTTCTGCTATAACCAGAATACAGTGTTCCCCCTCCTAAGCCCACACGTTTCAGCCCACCCCTCCTCTTCTTGCCTATCAGTCCTGGCTTTATTCCATTCAAACTTTTCACAGATGGGAACAGAATTGTGTTGATGTGCATTCCATATTCAGTGTACATGCATCAGTCACACCACAGACCAGGGCGTCAGAGGGTCAGAGGTGGAAATGACAGACCTGGGCTCTTTATACATGCGAGGATACGTGAATATAAGATCCCATATCTGAGCTGGCAGTGCAAAACAGGGCAGCAGTAATCAAATGAACTAACATCCAGGCTGTGTTGCATGGTGTGGTTACGGTTGCCTGGCTATTTATATGTGTCCCTCCTTCAGAGAAGGAAGCTGCTCCTATTGGATCCAGATGTGAGCGGAAGGACAGACAACAGCTCGACTGAAAGGTAACAGCCTGGATCCAGTTGAGATTCCACTGCTGCTTAAACTACTGTACTGCTAAACTACTCCTAATGGCAAGGACAAAAACATTACTACACATGTACTACCACATAGACTACATTAGTCTTTGAAGTGTGTCATAAATGATTAGTTGCCACGGCAGAAAGTGGACGGAGGTGAATTTTAAAAATGTGTCTAAATAAGTCAACATTCACACATTTAAGCGTTTCTGAGAGGTGAACGTCACCGCTCACCTGAGGCTTCAAGGGTTAAATTACTCTCTCGGCCAGCCAACTACCATAACTTAACACTGCTCTCCTCCCTCTGTTTAGCCACAGTACTTGAATGTCAGCAAGTGCCTGTGAAGCAGGACTAAATGTGTTGTGACCGCTGGTGATGAATTGCTGGTAGGCAGCACCCCAGTGGGCCATGAGCCAATTGATCTACTAGTAGATCCCATGACACATGATCAATTCTTAGGCCGGTCTCCTAAGAGCTAGGGTCTACAGGCATTTTCACATGCCCTCTGGACTGGGTCAGGAGAATCAGGACAATACTTTGTTGGAACTTGTCCTTTGTTACATGTAGGAGGCAATCTGCTGCACATGCATTCTCACTATTACACAGAACATCTATAGAGTACAAATACCATGCTTGGTTTGGGTGAAGGTGCTGCCCGGGTTCAGGGTGCACACATCATGCCCACTGAACAAGTTCTCTATTCTCCAGACAGTTACCTCCGCTACATGGGTCCACACAGACTCTGTACAGATGCTGTCAGTTTAGAGACTCTTTAATTGTATTCTCAGAACATCTCCACCAGACAGTTTAAAGCACAGGTGTCGAACTCCAGGCTTCGAGGGCCGGTTACCTGCAGGTTTTAGATGTGTCCTTGATCCAACACAGCTGATTCAAATGGCTAAATGACCTCCTCAACATGTCTTGAAGTTCTCCAGATGCCTGCTAATGAACTAATCATTTGATTCAGGTGTGCTGACCCAGGGTGAGATCCAAAACCTGCAGGACACCGGCCCTCGAGGCCTGGAGTTCGACACCCCCGGTTTAAAGGAAAGTTGAGCTGAGAGAAGAGAGGATATGATGTCCTGGATATGTTTTGTACAGAATGAGCTGAAATGATAGAATAACTTGTCCATCTGTTCAGTGTACAGTTTCATTCTTTTCTTGTTCTTCTGTCTTCTTACAGCCACCGGACATGATGTGGCAGACAATAGAGGCCGTGGACAGCTGTTAATCTAGTAACATCTGGCTCCGTCAACCCACATTTTTCTCTCCCATAGTGAATGGATACGGACTATTCTCAGAAATGACATGGTGATCCCTTGATCCGCTCTTGCATCAGATATGTCTGGCATGAGATAGCTGAAGCTAGCACAGACGTGTGCGCACACACACACACACACACATACAAGCATCATTTGCGGTTATGGGGCATGGGACATGAGGTCTCAACAGGAGCCATTGTAGACTGCACTACCAGGCAGCCACACTGGGGCCCATTCGCCCCTCTGATATGGCTCGAGTCTGAACACCTACGTCAGCCCACAAGCTTGACGTCAAGCACATGTGTGCTTTGACCAGAAGCCTGCACGAGTTGGTTTCACACAGAGAACAAAAAGGAGGACGGAAAGGGAAGAGAGCACAATCTTGATGTCTCAACTATTTGTAGCCCCTAAAACAGAAACTGAGATCAGCTTTGATTAGAACACGCAAAAAATAAAACAGCAGTATTAGTATTTCACAGCAAGCATCACTGTCAGTCTAATGGTATAATTATACGTCTGCTCTCAAATAACTCTGAGGCATTCTTGGTGCCCACAGTAGGCCAATGTTCAAATAAAATAGCACTCTCTGGTTGACCAGCAGCTGCTGGCTTATATATAAAGAGAAGTGATACAGATGCCAAAGGAGACAGCAATAAAAGTAAATCATTTCACCAGTCAAGGGTACATCATGTCACATCGAATGGGCAGGTTTCTTGGAATAAAAAAATAAAAATCAGACCTTTGTAAGTCAATATTGCCCTTTGTTCTTTGTGCTTCTTGTGTAATACAATGTTGTATTCTGTTTTCTGCGTCAGTGCAGGGTAACGGAATACAACGGTCGTGTCTGGTGTTGTATTACATTAGCTAATAAATGACATCCTGATGCTGAGTTAACTTTGTTGTCTGTTTGGCTGGATAAAATGTGCCAGAAGGAATGTCTCAAAGGCAAGAAAACACAGAAAAAAAAGTAGGTTTGGCCACGAAATTAAATCTTGATCTTTCTCTATCACTGACACAGGCACAAAAACACCAACTCCAGAGCACACTACACTGATCCCTGTGTCGCCCCTGCACCCTCCTGGTACCCATTCTGCTGGCTCCAACCGCCAAGGCCACCCGCCACGAGGGAAGCAGCAGAACGGTCCGGTTTCCACAAGCCTACGTGCTGCACAACACAACCACATAACTGCGTACATTGGGGTGGGGGTGGGGGTGGGGGGGTGTCTACCCTCTCAGTGCACCCCATCACCCTCAATAACAACACACAGACGTAAAAACACTTTGGCACGGGGTACAGCATGCACGCATGCGTCAATAATGCTTTCTTAATGATTTTTGCCACTGTCTAGTCAAAAGAGGACATATCGTCACTGGTCCACAATATTCACCCATCAATACATTACAAAACAGTTTTGAACTTGAAGCCGTTGACCAATGAGGAGTAAAGACTAATGTGCTTAAGTCAGAGACCAGACTGCCCACTGCTCTCGTAAGCCTGTTTGACCAGCTGTCTATCTTCCTAAAGACAGACTGGAGAGCACTTTGCGTACACACACCCACCCACTTGAGGGAGGGAGCACCAAAGGCACTCCAACTTCCAGACATCCGTCCCATCTGCTCGACCAACCGCCAAAATCAAATCACAACAACAGGAGAGGACCTGCGCTTGGCTTCTCTCTTTTAACCTCAAAGAATTAACCCTTTGAGGTTATGCGTCACAACCTTGAGCATAACCCTAAATCTAACTGTGGGCATTCGAAATATCCTATTTCTCTTTTTATTAAATAGTTCTTCCAATTAGTGGCAATCAGGGAACAAAGGAAATAACGTTTCTAACTGAGAGAAGGTCAGGAGTTAGGATTACCACCTAAGACGTCTTAGAACTCAGAAGGTTAAAACATGCACATTTCTCTTCATAACACATCTAATGTACAAGTTTCCAAGTGCTAAAAAGGCTCTGAGTCAACTATTAAATCTAATGTGTATGCTCACTCAGTGGTCACTTCATTAGATGCACCTGCTCAAGTGTTCAGTAACGTAAACATCTAATCAGCCAGTCACGTAGCAGCAAACAACTGGATTTGGGCATGTAAATATGATCAAGTTCAAACCAAGCATCAGAATGGAATAGAAAGGCGATTTAAGTGACTTTGAGCATGGCATGGTTTTAATGGCATGAGTATTTCAGAAACTGCTGATGTGCTGAAATATTCTCACACAACAGTCTCTAAGGTTACCTAGAATGGTCCAAGAAAGAGAAAATATCCAGCGAAAAAGGCAACGTTGATATCAGAGATCAGAGAGAAAGGCCATACCCCTTCAGGTGGTGGGCAACAGTAACTGCTAATCAATTTTTACAAGCATGGTGCAGAAGAGCACCTTGAAGCAGATGGGCTACAGCAGCAGAAGTGCACAATGGGTTCCACTCCTGTCAGCTAAGATAGGCTCACAAAAATTAGACAACCGAAGACTGAAAAAAAAACTTTGCCGGGTCTCATGAGGCTCAGTTTTTATCAATATTAACCAAAATCTCAGAGGACATTTAGAGCACCTTGATTAGTCTATACCCTGGAGGCGAAAGGGGTTCCAACCTGGCAACAGCAAAGTGTAACTAGTGAAGTGGCCAGTGAACATATAGTTCAACTTTAATAGAGAATTTGCAATATTAATCTTTATTATTTATATACACTTTTGTCTGTCTTGATTGTAAAACATTGTGTTATCCCTGGTATTCAGCCCACACATACTCTCAACACTGTACATGCCTTCTCTAAATCTGAAGCCATGATTCCATTTCATTGAACTTGCAGTGTACATTACTACTAGAGAGCACATTAGGTGTGAAGGCAGGAGCTATAAGTGAAGAGAGGTTGTGAGTGCTCCTTGCAAAGAGTGTGTTTCAGCCTCAGGACTGCATTTTCCACAACACTCCTGCAATTCAGAGCTGCCGAAGAACATGCTCAACTCATTAGAGCAGAGTTCGTTAAACCTTTCTCATCAATGTACCTGCACTCTGCTCTCCATCCTCCCACGTTTACTCTGTTATTAACCAGACAGCGCTGTGAGATAAATGACTACATTAATCGTCTTTGATAGCTCAGGGATTTTCCTTGTTCGCGGGCGGGAACAGTATACGGTACACGGTGATGGTCAGGGCCATTTTGTAAAGCTGTGTACGTGTCTCTCCCTGTGTGCAAATGTGTGCAGGGACTGAAAGCAGCGGAGTTTGGATCACTGCTTGATGGATAATTTGTCCCTGCGTGTTCAGTGTCTCTGCTGTAAATGAAACACATGGGACATGGCAGCAGGCTCTTAACCCCACTTTGTCCGATGGCTGTGTTTGCGCTTTGCGCTCTCCCTCTCTCGTCAGAGGTGAGCCTCTAGTTCTCAGATTGCCGCAGCTGTCAGGGAAGAACCGAAGGACTCTGGCTGTTTCCTCAGTTCACAGAGGAGTTAATGCTTCTGGCTTTTTCACTTGCAGAACCATATTTTTCCTTTCCTCTGTATCCTCTTCCTTCCTTGGGGGTATGCTGTGAAGTTGTAAACCTGAGCCACAGGTGCCCAGCAGTGATACGCGTTTTGCCCCCTCCCCAAACGCATCTGGGAGATCTTATAGTTCTTTCACCCAAAGCATCAGTTTAGCATACCGTTTACGAGAGCAATGCAGGCAGGGCTTGTTGTGCAGTAATGTTGTATTATTATGGCACCTTTCTCCAGAGGGTACCTCTAATCCAGTTACAGATTTAAACAAGGGAAATGGTTCCAAGGCATCCATCCCACTTATCCTTGGATCACAGGGAGAACAGAAAAGCTTGTTGCCAATCCTGCAGGGACTTCAAAGGGTTCAACCGTCCAAACATTTGTAGAAATTTGTGGAATTCAGCATACTTGATTGCACCTGAACTACAATAACACCTAAATTCCAGCTCGTTAATTAAATCCTGTGATGAAACCGACAAAACACTGAAACCTGGTTTGTGGGAGGCATGTGGAGGCAGAGGACCACCTCTGTTAATTCTTATGTTTTTAACAAAACAGCATGAAAAGTGCAAAACACAGATTTTTACTGTAATCAATTATTAACAATAGCAATTATTAACAGCTGGAACACTGACAACTGTTTTAAATACATTCCACATCGTGCATGAATCCGTTTCCTAGATCTGAAAGGATAGCGGGCTGCAGATTAGCTTCTGATATTTTTTAATAACATTAAGGCAACAGCTTTTAAATTTAATACTTTCAGTTCATATTCTGTAGTGAAAATATGATGCAAAATGTCCAATTTTGCCCTGTGTCTTAATAGAAAATAGTAAAAGTAACAATGTTAATCATTTAAAGTTGGGTTAAATTTTGTCTTTATTAACAGGCAAAAATCAAATATATAAAAAAAACACAAAGAAAATCCCATAAACTCCTTGGCGGAGGTATGAAAAGAACAACATGATCTTCTTCCTGATTTTCAGGAAGAACACAATCCATTATTGCCGGATAATTGCCACACATAGAAACCACCAATAGTTCATACAGCTCTAAGCCAAGCCAACACACATAAATGTCTGATGTGCACAATTGTAACGACTTCAAACATATGACCACAGAGTCAAGAGAGAGAAAAGGACCTTTTCCTTTAGGGGAGAAGTGGCACCAACAAACGAGTGCGCCTGCACCGACTGCGCAGAGCCCACGTACCCTTCAAACATGGCATTTTCCAGTGCAGCTCATGAAAAAAAATAATAGATGTGTCGTCACCCCATAATCGCCATTAAGAGGAATAAGAAGTGGGATTTTCTAAAAATAAACTCATTTGTTGGGGTCTTAGAGGCTAAACACTGCATTCTGGAGAAGCTGAGCTGAGTGCAAGTGACGTGCCAGCGGATCACTTACCGTCATGCATTCTTAATTTAAGCTGTATCCCTCTTGAGGGGGCCTTAGGTAACCTTACAAATGCATGAGGAATATGGGTTAAAGTGTGAACACATCTCCAAATAAGGATTACTGGATTATAGGAAAAAGCTTTTTTTTTTAATTCTTTTTTTTTTTTACTTTAGACAATTGTTAGTTTGGTGTATGAAGCCTCAGAAAACACTAATGTCTACAAACAAAACTTAACCTGACAACCCCGAAGACGTCATCCATATTTTCCATGTGACTGACAGCAGGAGAAAGGATACATATTATCCCATTTTCATACATGTACTGCACCCCTGAACCCCCCCAACATCACCCAACAGCAGTGCATGTGAAAAACCAAATACCCCACACAGTCAGTTTTTATATTAAGCTGTCGTTACCCTTGTCAACTTCCCAGTACAAATTCTATATAATGTTGGAATGAACTGATGCACAAACAGCACAGGTGCATTCATTATTAGTGAGCTTGTGTCATGTGTGGTGCCTCCTGCATGCATACATGAAAGCAGCTCCTTCGCTTAAACTACACAGAGTATTTCCCTGAGTGCAAACGCATCTGAAACAGACCATTTTCTTCTGCGTGCTACATGTGAGAAAGGACAGCTGTGGAAAATATCCCGACCCGATCTTCTGAAATTGTCCAAAGTTCCTGTGTGAAAACAGCCACAGAAACCTAAGTAAATGATTCGCCACGGGCATGAACAAGACGAGAAGTAGTGAGAAATTAGGTTTCTGGAGGACAGGGGTTATGTCCTCTTTCAGTTTGTGACATTACGTGAAGACAGTACTGTTACCCTTTTGTAACAGTGGAAATCAACTGTACCGACAGCTAAGTCGCTAGTCTTATATAATCCCTGCCCAATCCAAGGCACTTTTTCTTTTTCTTTTTTACTGTGAGGTAAACAGGCCAACAGTACCCAGAGTGCACAGAGGTGGTCTTCCAGGTTAGGAGCTGTCGGGGTGAGAATCAGC